CTACTCATTTCTTTGCTACCATTCCAGTCCCATCCGTTTCCACCTCACAACCGAATTCTAAAGCCATTCTGGATTGTCTCCGAGCCCGGTTATTCCCTTTCTGCTTCCCATGTGTCTACCAGGTGACTGTCCGCCTGCCCCATGCCAGCAATCAGAGCCCAGTCGGCACCGACCATCGGTGCTGAGCAGAGCTCTCTGCCGGGTTGCCTTCCCACCACACAGGTTCCCTTTCCCTTTGTCCGTCTTTGAGGCTATCAAAAGCAAATGATATCGCCACTGTCTCTCGCAGTAGCCAGCTCTGAATCTCTTCCGGCTGGTTGTGGTCTTCATTTATTTCCACAGAATGGATAATCTCTGAGAAAAGAGGCATACTTTCTAGGGGAGTCCGCGGTGGGATGTAGGCCTAGAGTTGCAGGCAGTCCCGGCTACTGTGCTAGGAACACCTGAGCACTGCAACAGCGTGGTCATCCGCAGGGGAGACGGACGCCGTGTGAGGTCCCGGCTCCACCCGTGGCAGAAGTCAGTGCTATCTCTGGACGTTGTTTCACGCACCAGTGAGTTCCTTGTCTCATATCTGCTGGTATGAGTTTCTGTGGCTTGCAATCAAAACATTACTTTTTGGGGAACCAGCAGTTAGCGTAATGGCTATGTTGCTGGACTCCCACGTAGTCGACCGCGGTTCGTGTCCCGGACCCGGTGGCTTAAAACTCACGCCGGGCGCGTGTGCGTGCATGCCCAAGATCCCGAGAGGAGAATGGAGGAGAAGGGATTGCGGTGTGACCATCCCCCCTGGGGGGTGATTTCTCGCTTTCTGTCTCTATGTCTCTCTCTGTCTGGCGAGCGCACGCGCCCTACAGTGAAAATCTCTCAAAAAAAAAAAAAAAACCAAAAAAAAAAAAAACCATTACTTTTTGAGTGATAGCCCTTCCCCCCATAAGGGACCACACCTGTCTCTAACTTCAGGTGGAGAGAGAGGACTGCAAAGTCTTACTGCTTTGGTCACAGTTGACAAGTTGAACCTTGGCCTAGAAAAGCCCACTAGTCACTCAGTGAAGCTCTTGCTGGCCAGCACAATCCACAGTGCTGTCCCAAAGGTGGGATCCAAATGACAGCTTTTTGGGTTACATTTGCATGCTTAGCCACTGTACTCCCAAGAAGGACATACGAGAGTGGCTGGGCCCAGAGAGTTTTCCAGCCTTAGACACATGCCAGGTGGAAACCAGCCCTCCCTACAGAGACAGGCGCCTTCGTGTTGAGCACTGGATTCCAACCTGACTGCTCACCTCTTGGCAAATTCTCCCTTGTCAGGGCACTCAGCTTTCCTCAGAAAATTTTCTAAATTTCAAATCTTGGAAGTTTTATTTCTTTTCCCAACAAAAGGTTCTGAGTCCTACGCACATTTGTCCACCCCCTCTCCGGGGCTAGTCATATCAGGGAATCTCCGTTTTTATCAAGGGTGTTGCTAAAACTATCAATATTTAAATGGTTATTTTTTAGCATGGTCAGTCAGGTGGGGTCTCGGGAGGAAACAGGAGGGCTTACGGAAGAAAGCTTACTATAGTCACAGGTCTTAGAGAGAGGGCTACTGCATGCCCTGCAGGGTCAGAGTAAGACACCAGGGGGCCAGCAGGCAGAAGACTGGGGTCAGGGAAGAGCTTGGGGTTTGACCTTCTTGAAGTTTCCACGGAAAAGGCAAGGTAAATAGTTCATGATTGGCTAGTTTGAATAACTTCAATTATTCAAATTAGAGGGGTGTCTGGGCCTAGGACCTGGGTTGATGAAGGCAGATGAATATTTCCTTTTGGATTATACAGACCAAATAGAGGAAGTCTGGCTAGACTGGGTAGTTTGCATATCAAAGGCAAGCTCTCAGAATTGACTAACCCTGGGAGAGGCAATCTTGCTTTAAAGATGTGAACATATCTGGGACCTGCAGGTGGCATAGTGGTTAAGGGTGCCCCCACGTGGCAGCTTGCTTTCTCACTTTCCCTCTTCCTCTCTGACTCTGTCCCTCTCTGGTCAAATTAAAAATAAATAAATAAATAAAGTTAAACAAAATAATTATTGGGACCAGCAGTTAGCGTAATGGCTATGTTGCTGGACTCCCACGTAGTCGACCGCAGTTCGTGTCCCGGACCTGGTGGCTTAAAACTCACGCTGGGCGCATGTGCGTGCATGCCCAAGATCCCGAGAGGAAAATGGAGGAGAAGGAATTGCAGCGTGACCATCCCCCCTGGGGGGTGATTTCACACTTTCTGTCTCTATGTCTCTCTCTGTCTGTCTGGCGAGCGCACGCGCCCTATAGCAAAAACCTCTCCAAAAAAAAAAAAAAAAAAAAAAGGGAAAACATCAAAATGTAAAAAAAAAAAAAAAAAAAAAAGTGAAAACATCATAATGTATAGAAAATAAAAATCATATACGTCAAGTATCAAAATCTTCTTTCCCCCAGAACAAAAGTAATCTCTTAGGTTTGCAACCTTTCTGTTTGTTTGTTTGTTTTGTAGAGGTTTTTGCTATAGGACGCGTGTGGTCACCAGACAGACAGAGACAGACAGAAAGCGAGAAATCACAGCGGGGATGAAGACGCTACAATCCCTTCTCCTCCATTCTCCTCTCGGGATCTTGGGCATGCATGCACACGCGCCCGGTGTGAGTTTTAAGCCACTGGGTCTGGGACGCGAACCACGGTCAACTACATGGGAGTCCAGCGACATAGCCATTACGCTAACTGCTGGTCCCCTCTTTTTGTTTGTTTTTAAGAGAGAGATTTTTTGCTACAGGGAGTCTATGCTCACCACAAAGACAGAAAGAGATGGAGAGACAGGAAGCGAGAAATCACCTCCCAGGGTATTTGGCTATGCTACAATCCCTATTCCTCATCTCCTCTCAGGATTTTGGGCACATATACACATGTGCCCAGGGTAAGGTTTAGGCCACCAGGTCTGGGACTCAGACTACAGTTGACTATGTGGGAGTTCAGTGACATAACCATTATGCCATCTGCTGGTCCCCATGTTTGCATCCTAAAAGCAATCATTTAAATGATTTTATAGGGACCAGCAGGTGATGTTGTGGTTAAGGCACTGGACTCCCACACAGTCAACTGCAGTTTGAATCCTGGACCCGGTAGTTTGAAACTCACTCCCGATGTGTGTACATGTGTGCCCCAAATCCCAAAAGGAGAATGAAGGAGAAGGGATTAGAGCATAGCCATTCTCCCCCACCCCCAGGGGTTGATTTCTTGTTTTCTGTCTCTGGCAAGTTCACATCTGTTTTTTTTCCTTTGGAGAGGTTTTTGCTATAGGGTGTGTGTACTCGCCAGAAAAACAGAGAGACAGAGAGATAGAAAGTGAGAAATCACCCCTTGGGGGGATGGCCACGCTGCAATCCCTTCTCCATTCTCCTCTTAGGATCTTGAGCACGCACACACACGTGCCCGGCATGAGTTTAAGCCACTGGGTCCAAGACTCAAACCACGGTCGACTACATGGGAGTCCAGCGACATAGCCGTTACGCTAACTACTGGTCCTACAAGTTCACATCTTATAGCAAAAATCTCTCTCTCAAAAAAAGTTTTTGGAAGAATACAGAAAATTTTCTTTATGATTTTTTATCTTCACTTATTCAGAAAAATTGTTCTCTGATTTAAAACAAAAATCATAGGAGAATAAAAAGCTCTTATTTCCCAGTACCCCGCGTTGAGAACAATTTTACTTGTCAGCTGGGCTCCTCTTTGTCCTGGATCCCCAGCACATCTAGCTTGTACATGTTGTCCCTTGGCTTGGCCTTATCTTTCGCTTTTTTTTTTTTTTTTTTTAGGTTTTTTTTTTTTTTGTGTATGTGCACGGTTTAGATATAGACAGAGAGACAGAACCACACCGCAATCCCTTCTCCTTCATTCTTCTCTCAGGATCTTGGGCACGCATGCACACATGCCCGGCGCGAGTTTTAAGCCGCCGGCTTTGGTACGCGAACCGCAGTTGACTACGTGGGAGTCCAGCAACATAGCCATTACGCTAACTGCTGGTCCCACCTTTCACATTTTCGACATTCTGCTTTTTTTTTTTTTGGAGAGATTTTTTCGCTATAGGGCGTGTACGCTCACCAGACAGAGAAAGACATAGAGACAGAAAGCGAGAAATCACCCCCCAGGGGGATGGTCACGCCGCAATCCCTTCTCCTCCATTCTCCTCTCGGGATCTTGGGCACGCACGCACGCACACGTGCCCGGTGTGAGTTTTAAGCCACTGGGTCTGGGGCACGAACTGCAGTGGTCGACTACATGGGAGTCCAGCGACATAGCCATCATGCTTACTGCTGGTTCCCGACATTCTGCTTTCTCTGGAAAGGTCAGTCCAAGACCATACCACTGACAAATTAATTATATGATCATTTGTTCTCTTATTCTTTCATGATTTTTAAAAAAATCTCCTAACTAGTATACACATTCTTTGAGGGAAGGGAACATATTTTCTTTGCATATAGAGTTCAGTAAGTGAATGAAATGTGGGTAATCAAATACCTTTTGTAACAAGTGGTACTTCAAATATTTGAGTTTTCATATAATTTGATGCCATATAAAAGATGAAATCTTTTTGAAGTCTGTAGAGATTGTCCTTGTATACATATTTTAATTTTTAAATATTTTCATCATACATAGATTTTAAAAGTTAGATTTAATTTTAACAATCGGAAAAATATTTGTTTACATATTGATAAAATTACTATTCATACATTTTACGTTAAATTAACTTCAATATTTTAAAAAGGATTTTGAATTCTCTACCTCAAACTTAAAATATAAAAATCATACTACCTTTTACCACTCAATATTGTAAGTGGTCTAAGTACCTTATTCTTTATCATCCCAAGAGAATATGCATGTCTCAGAAATACATTTTTAAAAAGTAATTTCAACTTATCAAAAAGTCAAATGATATAAAATTTGGCTTAATTTAATATTTTCTATTGTTACAAATAAATAAACAGTTTGATATTATAACTTAAAAGAGCTTTTTCTATCTGTACTATAAACAGTCCTCCTTTAAATATCTCCTCCTTCGAAAGAGAATCGAGACCTTTAAGTTAGTGGTACTGTACCCTAAAAATATCTGAGGGGTCGTACGTAGGAGAGCGGGACATTTCTGAGCTCTCGGATTTCCCATCTGCTTAGTAGCTCACACTGAAAAGCACAAGTGAGGTAACTGGGTACAAACAGATACATATGTACATATGTAGCTTTAATAAGTATAAATACATATTTCTAAATTGGTATACAACAAAGAGTTTCCATAAATCAGAGACTTTAAAGATACATAAAAGATTTAAATCACTCTTGTTGAATTTCCTTTAATAACATAAAAAGTACAAACACTTATTTTGAAATCTTAAATTTGAGACTGCTTTTCCAGTTCTTCAGCTCCTAATAAGCACTAAGGAGCAATTTGCATCAATTCACCACCTACTCCTTGGCATCCCCAATTCCTCCAGCAGTTATTGCGAAGGTGGCTTCATTTTCGGGCATCTCAGGGCTAACAGAATACAAGGGAACAGAAGTTTATAAAAAGCTCCATTCCATAAATACCACACTCATGTCACAGGCATCATGCTCCCATCAGTCTGAGTCTCCAGAGACATCTCAGAATTGGTGTAGCTAAATGTGGGCTACAGAATTTACCCACGGGTATGATTAACCCTTACAAACACTAACTGAGCTACTTCTCTATATGTAAGGTTCCGACTGTCAAGAAAGAAAGATTACCCCAAACGTGGGACTCGGTGACAGGGGTATTCCTTCAGTATAGAGCCAGGCTTTGCGTAGGGGCTTATCCCATTCTGTAGAAGTGTGCACCTTTCTATCGACTAAACTAATTGAGGGGAAAGCTGTAAAAGACTGAAATGAACTCAGATATTACTGAATACCTCTAATGGAAAAGACAGGATGTCTAGCACACCGTTCTAGGTTATCTACAAGAATTCTATGAGGGCTCTTTACCTTCTATTGTCTTTGATCCGTTTTACAACTCTGTAAATTGCAGAAAACTACATGCAATACAAATTATTCTTATCCACAGAAATGTTCATTGTGTGAGGTAGAATGGAATGAATTCTTGTCCTATAGATATTGGCCCATTTTTATTAATTTATAGTTAACTTCAGCACTCCTTATTTGAGTGTATATGAGCAGTCCTCTTGAAATCTGCCCAAGAGAATATTGCTGATAAGTAAAGGTGTCAGGATTAGAAACCAAGGTATTCAACTCCCAGCTCATGTTCTTTTATTTAGGTTTTTGTTATAAGGCATGTGCTCGCTGGAAAGAGACAGACAGAGACAGTGAGAGGGAAAGTGAGAAATTACCCCCTAGGAAGGATAGCTATGCCTCAATCCCTTCTCCTCCATTCTTCTCCAGAGATTTTGGGCATGCATGGACACAGACCTGGTGTGATTTTTAAGCTCCCAGGTCCAGGACTTGAACTGTGGTTGGCCATGTGGGAGTCCAGCACCTTAACCACCATGCCACCTATTGTCCCCACAGCCCATATTCTTAACCATATTGCTCCTCAGAGGTGTCCCCCCCGACCCCTTGTCTGGTGGTTTTGTTTTGTTTGAAGGACAGAGATCAGGCAGTATACTTAGAGCACAAGGTAAGATGATTTCCCATGGGAACGTAGGACACTAAATGGGCTAGAGATAAGGAAGGAGGTCTTACTAGACTAAAACTGGAGTAAGAAACTGTAACTGGGGGGAACCAGCAGTTAGCGTAATGGCTATGTCGCTGGACTCCCACGTAATCGACTGCGGTTGCATCCCAGAACCGGTGGCTTAAAACTCATGCCGGGCGCGTGTGCGTGCGTGCCCAAGATCCCGAGAGGAGAATGGAGGAGAAGGGATTGCGGCGTGACCATCCCCTCTGGGGGGTGATTTCTCACTTTCTGTCTCTATGTCTCTCTCTGTCTGTCTGGCGAGCGCACGCGCCCTATAGCGGGGGAAAAAAAAAAAAAAACTGTAACTGGAATTACAAAATAGCTTTTGGTCTTGACAGAAACTACTCAGTCAGCTACTTGCAAATGGTGGGAAGTAAAATGAAAACTCTCCCTAGAAGTAAACAAAAAACTGAAAAAGAGAGAAGCCAAGCGAGGTACCTATAAAATGGATCTACAGTTAGTGTGTGTTTGTATGAATATTGTTTCACTTCTAAAGACAAAATCAGGTGACCAGCAGGCCTTGTGGTGGTTAAGTCCCGGACCTGGCAGCTTGCTTTCTCACTTTCCTCTCTCTCTGTGTGTTTCTCTCTGGTCAAATTAAAATAAATGAATGAAGAAATAAAATTAAATAAAAATAATTTTTTAATAAAAAAGACAAAATCAGAAGCAATTACTCTAATTTTTTTTTAATTGCCAAAGGTCACCAGAGACGAAGAGAGATAAAGGGAGAATGGGGCATGGTTTTGCTACAATCCCTTCTCCTCCATTTCTCCATCCTGGTGAGATTTTAGGATTTGAACCCTGATTGACCATGTGGGATCCAGCTCCCTTAACCACGATGCTACAGGACTAACCCAAGAAGCAGTTACTTTAGAGACATGACCATTTGTATGTCTTTTCATTTTTAAAAATAATTTAAAATTTGTTTTCTTTTGAATTTGGTGAAGTCCTTTATTTATTTATTATTTTAATTTGCTATACAGTGTGTGTGCTTTCAGGAGAGAAACAGAAAGAGAGGGAAAGTGAGAAAGCATCCCCCAAGGAGGATGGCCTTTCTGCTATCCTCTCTCCTCCATTCTCTTCTTGCCACTCACGCACACAAGCCTGCTGCGTTTTTCAAGCTGCTGGATCTGGGACTTGAGCGCACTGTCAGCCACGTGGGATCCAGCTGCCTTAACCACCATGCCACTGGCTGGCCCAATTTATTTATTTTTATTCTTTTTATTTTGCCAGAGGCCACAAAGAGATAGAAAGAGAGAAGGAAAGTGAGAAAGCACCGCCTACGTGGAATAGTCAACACTGCAATCCCTTTTCTCCATTTCTTCTCTTTTCAGGGTTTTGGGTTCATGTGTGCATGCATGTGTTTCTCAAGCTGCCAGGTCCAGGACTCAAACCACGCAGATGAGCATGTGGGATCCGGCCACCTTAACCACCATGCCCAGGGCTGGCCCAGGTTCTTTAGTTTTAATGTCTGTTGATCTCAGACATGCTAAGTAAATACAAATAAGTGAAGTTTTTACTCACTTGCCTTAAAGTTTGAAAGAGGGGAAAATGTGCTTTTGAAAGCCAGGAAAGATGGGGCAGTAACTAGAGGCATTCAAAGGCAAGGACTGGTCCTTTTTTGTCATAATCATGCACACTTGAAATTTTCTGAGAACCATTTTCTGCTCAATTCTTGGAGAATTCTATGTCTTGTGTGAACAAGAAATGTTGTATCCGTTTAAAGGTAGTAGGTGAAGTCATGGGGGTAGCTACTATAGCTACATGAGCCACAACTTACTAAATCATTCTCAATAAACTAAAAAATATTTTAAGAGTTTCTTCCCCTTGCTTTATTATTTTTTTTTCCTGGTGTTTTCCATAGGGTGGGTACATATTCCAGAGAGAGACAGAGAAAGGGAAAGTGAAAAACACCCCCTTAGGTGTATGTCTGCTACACAATCCCTTCTCCATCCTGCTCCTGGGATTTGAGGCATGCACACACAAGCACCTGGGGTGATTTTTGAGCTACCAGGTCCAGGACTCAGGAACTGGCTATGTGGGAGTCCAGCACCTTAACCACCATGCCACCTGCTGGCCCCAAAATAGTGTAGCAATTTCAAAAGTACAGACCTTAGATTCAGACAGCATACATTCTAATCCTGGTTCCAGCCATTTCTGGTTGTGTGACAGGCAAGTCCGTTTATTTACTCATTAAGAAAACATTTTTCACCTTTTACCACATGGCCAACCATGGTTCAGGTCCTGGACCTAGCAGTTTGAAACTTATGCTGGTGCGAGTGTGAGCATGTCCAAAAATCTTGAGGAGAATGGGGGAATGGATTGTGGGAGGCCATCCCCCCTGGGGAATAATTTCTCACTTCCCTATCTCTTTCTCTCTGTGGCAAGCATATGTGCCCTAAGGCATAAACCTTAAAAAACAAACAAACAAACAAACAAAAAACACTGACCAAGTGCCTGCTATTGAATATTTCGCTGTTGGTCCGCACTTGAGATCTGCAAGTGAAAAAGACACAAATCCCTGCCTTTCTTTGTGGAACTTACATTGGGGAGGAGAGAGATAAATAATGGACATGTTAAGTACATATATTCTGTGATACGTTAGTGATAACTGCTGTGGGAAAAAATAGAACTGGGTAGGGAAATAAGGGTATGAGAATTGAGAATTGGAAGTCCTCTAGATGCAATTGTAAAGACAGAAATTGTTGAGAAGGTAACATTTGGTCAAAGACTTGACGTAGATGGAGGAGATAACCAGAGGGCTGTCAGTGATTAATCCAGGTGAAGATTATTCCAGGGAGAGGGAACAAATGTGGAGGCCCTAGGGCAGGAGCATGCCTGGCATGTCTGTGAAATATCAAGGAGCCTGCCCATTGAGGCTGACACACCGTGGGGAAGGGGAAGAACAAAAGGAACGGGAATACGGCTCTTCATGGAGTGTCGTGTGAACCACTGTAGAGACTTGGGCTTTTATTCTGAGTGAACAGGAGGAGCCACTGGAGGGTTTTAAGCAGAAAACAGATGTGATCTGACTTAGTTTTACAAAGAAAAGTCTAACTTCTATATTTCAAACAGACCTTAGAAGGGCAATGCTTACATATCTGCCTGGGGCCTTCACTGCCTCATCTGTAAAATGGGGATGATAACCTTTTCTTCAAGGGTTGTGGTTATAAACAATGAAATACTATGTATAAAGCAGTTGGAGCAAGACCTAGCACGCAGTAGCCATTCAGTACGTGTTAGCTATCATTATTCAGCAGCAGCATCTTCTCTACCAGACAGGTATTGCTAAAGTGAAGAGTCTTTTTTTTTTTTAATGATTATTTATTTAATTTTATTTATTCATTCATTTATTTTAATTTGACCAGAGACACAGAGCGAGAGAGAGAGGGGGAAAGGGAGAAAGGAAGTTGCCAGGTCTGGGACTCGAACCGTGGTCGGCCATGTGGGAGTGTCCAGCACCTTAACCACCAAGCCACCTGCTGGTCCCCAAAGTGAAGAATCTTTATGAAAGATCTCCAGGGACCAGAAAGAAATGAGGACATGCTGCACAGCAAGCTAAGTATTAATATTTTAGGCTCTGATCTAATTCTGCCGTTTTTATTCAAATTTATGGAAATTTGACATAACTCATCTCTATGAAAACTCACTTAAATTATCCTGTATTGAATCTGAAGAGCTCTGGTAGTCTCATAAAACTTTAAGAATTGAAAATTTTTTTTTTAAGAATTATTTTTTATTTACCTTTACTTTAATTTGGCCAGAGAGGGACAGTGAGAGAGAGAGAGAAAGCGAGAAAGCAAGCCGTGGGGGGCTGGGAGGTGGTGTGTGGATAAAGACACTAGACTCCCACATGGCTGACCACAGTTCGAATCTCAGATCTGGCAGTTTATTTTCTCACTTTCTGTCTTTCTCTGGTCATATTTGAAAATAATAATAATAATAATAATAATAATAGAGT